GGATTATCAGAGACTTGTGTGTGTGTTCAAGTTTCTCCCCTCAACAAACTTCACAATCCTTGTTAGTATAGAGGTGTTTACAGTCGGCAAGAACAGCTTTAAACTGATCACTTCCGAAGAGACAAACACACACAAACAAAAAAGAGAGACAATTTAAGGGGGATATAACTCATCTTAGAAAATCTCTATGAATCCTGTTTTGTCTTAATGATTCTACTAGGACAGCTCTAAGACTGTGGTAACCTGGGGCATGAAGGCCGTCCAGGTGGAGATCAATATTCACACCGTGGAGAACCTGTGACAGATATTATCCATCACCACTGGCACGAGATCAGAGGGGACGTCTCCTTCCATTAACAACCTGGGGTATGAACTACACTAATAAGAATGACAATAAACACAGAGAGAGAGAGAGAGAGAGAGAGAGAGAGAGAGAGAGAGAGAGAGAGAGATTGTCCAATAAAATAAAAGCAACATATATGCAATAAATGATAAATACATGAATAAATAAACATACAATAGCAATAAATAGAGACGGACAAAACAGGGAGAGTCTTCACAACACCACTAATCCGAGCCATTATCCTGAGGTCAGAAAAACGTCAACAATTCTGCCTACATTTGATGATAAATATTGAGAGAGTTTTTTAAACTATATTTATAAATTCCCCCGAAGCGCAGTTTCTGTATAATTACCGAGTGTTTTTTTAAATACACTCTTTTTGAAGGATTATAAAACATTCATCCTGCTCGTTGAGGTGTTAATGTGGCAAGGGTGAAACATTTATATGATACACACCACTACAACCATACACACACACACATACATACAACCAGGCGCAAACACACACACATACACACACCCACTTCCATACACGAACCAACAGTTTCTTACATACAATTCATGAGCATACACTGCATACGTAAGCGAGGCCATTGTCGCATTTATTCTCACAGAAACATACATACATACGTGTGTGTGTGTGTGTGTGTGTGTGTGTGTGTTTGGAGAGTAAATAATTAACGGTGAATTATATATAGACCCTCCCCACTAGCCACAGAGTCATATAGTAAACTTAAGTAGTGATTGTTAAGAAAACATTAATGGTATTCTTCCCCTTTCTTTCCACTGTCGTAAATTTTCTTTCCAGTTCTCATTAGTGTGTGAGTTTATTTTCAACTCTCATTATCTTAAAAATAAACCAAGTTGTGTTTGGTTTGGTAGATGTAAAAGTGTAGAGCCTGTTCACACACACACACACACACACACACACAGACACACACATCCACCACACATATACAATGGTAAAGACCCTTTGTATTAATATCTACCAACCTTACCTTAAGATAATTGTCGAGTACATAGGCAGAAAACAAAGATTAAACTACGGTAATGGTTAATGAAGTAGATATTTTTGTTTTACAGAGTTTTTCTTATTGTGTTGGCAGAAATCGTCCTCAAACCAGACAGAGAATGAACAAAGAAAAAAAAATGAACATAAATCTTGCTCTACACTTTGATACTTTATTTCCGGGTTTCAATATAGTGTGTAATAACTTTAGAATACAGTTTACGTACCGGTATAGTTTGATATTTAGTTAGCTTCTAGTTTTCATTTCGTTTACTAATAGTTTACTGTATAGTGATTATATAATTAATTTTAAGTTTAGTATACATATAGTTTACTCTAGCTTACACGTATCCTATAGAGTTTATATGCTGTTATCATATATACTCTGCATGGCGTTTACCTTATAGTCTACATATAGCTAATAATAATTTACATACATTTTATTGTTTAGATGTATTAGTCATATATTTTACATTTATTTTATAACTAAGAGATGGTATAGGTTGCACGTATTTTACTTTATCCTCTGCAATTGGTATACAGTTTATATGCATTTCGTAATATATAGTTTAGATGTATTTTAATCTATAAGTTACAAATTAGGTTTTAGTGGATAGGTCGGATAAGAAAGATAGGTTAAGTGACTCTATGTTGCTTGTAAAATAATGTTAATGCGACGAGCCTTGAGAGCCACGTCCCTCATAATTTCTAGAGTTGTAGACAAATAAATGGGACAATTCCCACGTTCCTTAACCTAATTTAACAAAGGTTATCATTTATAAAGAAGCTAAGGAATTTTGTAATATTACAAAAATGATAGCATTGAAATTCTACCGTAGATGACTATAAAATATAGAAAAACGAGTGCTGTTTTTTATGGTATGTTGACGATGGGATTTTGTGTAGGAGAAAAAAATGTTTGGTCCTATTTTGGTGGGATTCTGTAAAGAGGAAAATTGTGTAATGGGATTTTCTCCAATGGGAATTTCCCCTTGCATCTTTAAACAGAGAGCACGAAGCGTCGTCTATGAGCCCTGAAACACCGAATTCGATGCAATAAACCCTGTGAGGTTTGAGTGAGACGGAGCTTCATCAAAGGTCCAGGTTGCGCTTCGGAAAGGGCTCACTCGCTCGAGCTATTTCCTCTATAAATCAACAAGAGAGAGGCGTTTAGCCAATGATTTTGGCAGCTAGTTCTCTGGGGCTTGACGTGAGCACCACACAACGAGTTGATGGTCTGCGGGTAGTCTCGTCCCACTTAAAAGTTCGTACAATATTTAGTCTTTTGGAAGAAAATATAAAAATTAAAAAAATACAATTTGTGTTCACTGATGAGTGTACAATTTGGACAAAGTGTGGTAATGACATCAGAAGTCATACTGAGACGCTGTTGTATATCACTGTACACGGCTAAGACAAGGCTAAGTCATCTCTTTATTATTCACGTCTATATTAATGTCAAGAATATATTAACTCGTAAGTAACTTAAGATGGCTTTGAGAGGCTTTATCAGGTTAAGATTTAGTAGAGTAGGTACTGTACCGAGTCTTCTCACAGCTCCTTATATGTATATCCAATTAGAACGGAATGATCATTTTTATGTTTGTTAGTTCAACATCTAGCTTTTTGTACTTCTAAACCTTGTTATACTTGGTGTGTGGGCAGGTAAGCCGTGGTGTTGCGTGAGAGGTGGTGCATGGCGGTCGCTGGAGTTGGCTGTAAGCGTCGATACTTTCTTTTATTGAAATCTTTAAAACTTATTGCTCTAAGATGAAGGTTTGCTGACGTATATTTGAGATTTAAATTCTTATATGTGAATATAATTATACGTAAGAGTGCATGCGTGCTTGTATGTGTGTATCGGCTATTCAAGGCTGAGTTTAAAAGAAAACTTGAATTATCATCGACTCATTTTGCCGAATAAAACAAAACTTAGCGGTAACCGATGAAACATGTGTGAGATTAACCTTTGAATTAAATTACAAATGGAATAAGTTATGAAGCCAGACTTTTACAGATAGAGACAGTAAAATACCAACAACATTAACATGATTCAGCATTTCGAAAGCTGCATAAAGTAACAGAAGCCAGTATAGGTGTTCAGGTCAGAATTGGTCAGCCCTCATGGAACAGTACTGGAACGAAGCAGCTATTGTGTATACTGTGCGATACGTCTCATCTACTTGTCTCTTTCAGTAACCATAAAGACTACAGTTTAATTGGAATAAGGGGATTTTCCCATAACAAAACACGCACACAAAATTTATATTTCTTTTATGACCGTTTACCACCATAAGACAGCGCTGGTTAGATTCAGGTAGGCTTTCTATGACACTATTCGTTTCTATGTACAGTATTACTATGAACTACCTGATCATCTATGGCCAGTTACAGTTAGAAATTTCTAAAAAAAATTTACGGAGTCGTTATTGGTACTTGGTAATTGGTCCTATTTACTGAAGAGTATATATATATATATATATATATATATATATATATATATATATATATATATATATATATATATATATATATATATATATATATATATATATATAGTAGTATGTGTGTATTTACTGACTCATACACACACAAAAATATAAAAACACTATACATGTATTTCTGATTAACATCAGGTTATATAATGATATAAACATAAGCTGGAGGTAACATCAGCTGCCAGTGTCAATACTTTCCCGTGAGGTCTTGAAGTTTTCATTGTGCCAGAGTCCTGGTCACACTGCTTCACCTCCCACCCATCACCTTTCATCTATAACTCGAAAATCTTCAGAACTATATGGAAAAAGTTCTTCCACAAGGATTTTAGTTATTAAGTATTCACACACACACACACACACACGCACACACACACACACGCGCACACACACACACACACACACTACTACTGTTACTACTACTACTTACTACTTTGCTGTCACTCGGAATCGAGCATGACGATCATCCAGCTATGATACAATGATATTAGTTATTAGGGATGTCACCTCCATTGGTGAGTTTTGAGGTGACTAAAGAGGCCGGTACGGGACCGGCAGAGTCGTTCACAGATGTTGCACATGTGGGGGGCTACATAAAGTGCGGGAGGGGCGGCAGCAGCGTCTTTCCGGCGTTGGCGCTTGTCTGCCTCGGTTTGCAGGCGGGCTAACTCGAAAGTATTGACACCTTCTCGTGTGGTGCTCCTTCAATGGTTACACACACACACACACACACACACACACACACACACACACACACACACACACACATACACGGATCACGCGCACCTACAGTGATTTACTTGCATATATATATATATATATATATATATATATATATATATATATATATATATATATATATATATATATATATATATATATATATATATATATATATATATATAATCGAACTAAAAAATATAGATGAATTAAAGTCTGGCTGATGACGATATCGGTGATGGAAAAGTTTCTATTATGTAGAGAGAACCTTCGAAGAACATAAAGGTTCCACAGCACTTTCAGTTATTTAAAAGATAATACATAAATGTTGTCTTAGACGGTGTCCAATATCGCACAGTTTAATGAAAGTAGCGTTCGTATGCACGTATTGTCGCTGAGTAACTAAACAGACACAAATGGCCCGGGGCCCCACCACCACACTGAGCCTTGCACAGCGGCACGTTCGTCCTCAACGCGGGTCGGTCAAACACTGACTGCCACCGGCCTTCTCACCCCCGTCCGCACCACACTGATGTCCTCATCTGTCTACAGAACCAACACGCTGGATGTCCCTCTGTCTAGTTATTAATTTTGTCTCTTTGCTTATTTTTTCTTTTAGTTTATTACCTTTTCTGCATACAGTATGTGTTTTCTTCTATTTGTGCATCGTTAATTTCGTCGTGTTCTTCCTGACAGCTACGTTTTTTATCCCCTATAATATTGCAGTCTGTCCTAATGTTTGGTTGTTGTGGACTCACGATAAAGGAAACTGACGACATGAGATACTTAAGCACCTCCTGTCATTGTCGTCACTGTGTTGTACCTCAAGTCATCTAAATATCTGGGTCAACTACACTTGGTCAACTATAAATACAAATTATCTTACATAGTTGATTATCCCAAGTAATTCTTTAGTTTACCTCTAATGCTATAAATAATGCTGTTCTTATCGCACATACGTTAGTGGTTTGTTTAATTTAGTAAATATATATAACAAAAAATCAGATACAAATACATAAAAAGTATAATTTAGTAATGCCCTCTATGAGGTTTTCAATAGCTTCATTAACTGATTTTTTTTTTGTGTGAATTGCAAATTAACGTCAAAACTGATGAACCAGCAATTCGCCAATTGCAAGTTGTTCAGTTTTTGTACAAAGTTTTGAATAGTGATTATGTATGACCCAGAAATACCCATAACTGCCGGTGATAAATGCTTGTCAAACTATTTGTACGACAGCTAAAAAAATGAATGGTAATTGGTGGCGAAATTACGATACTGACGATACATAATGAAAATACCTACTGTATGATGTATCACTGAAAGTTGCACAGAGTTTTTCGTTTAGAGACCATTGATTATACAGTATATAGATTAAACCCTGAGTTAAATAAGGATAACTATCTTCTGATATAGAGGTCAACCTACACAGCACCCATTGTTAGGTTTAAAAGAGAGGAAGATTAACCTAGTATCACCTGCGGGCACCAGGTAATAGCCTCCTCTTTGCTGGTCATTTAGCCATTGGCCAGGAGCAGCCTTTAATCTCCCACACGTCGCTGATCTGGGATGGTGCTAATATTTCTACTTATTAATTTCTGTAATTACAGTCCGGATATTAAGTGTTAATACGTATCCCACTCTTTACATTAACGTATATAAAATATACTTACGTTAATGAACAGATGATTATTATTATTATTATTATTATTATTATTATTATTATTATTATTATTATTATTATTATTATTATTATTATTATTATTATTATTATTATTATTATTATTATTATTATTGAACAACTAAAATTTCTCCTGAGACTCACCCGGTGCTACAGGTCCCCCAAGCTGTAGTAGTCCTTTGCTTCACTCCTCCAGTCTACAGCGTAGACATGTGTCTCTGTGGCTAAATAAAGCTTTAAAACGCAAATGATGTTTCTGTCAAATTAGGAAGATTTTTTTTTAAGAATTTTGGAAAATGAACTTATATATATGGTAAAATTTACTCTGTTTCATTTAAGAATTCGTTTACCTATATAAGAGAGCTAAATTGTACCTAAAGTAGGCGAGGTAATGTTAGGTTTGGTTAGCTCAGGTTAAGTTAGGTTAAGTTCTCAATGAAACTAATCATTTACTGTATATGTATTATGATTATCTGTATGATCGACTATGGTTAACCAGAAGATGAAAATAAACACATAGAAAAAATATATAAAAGTTAAGAAAAACAAATATAACTTCACTTAACTTTTCAAAGAATCTTCACTTGTTTAAATTCACTCTGGATAAAGTCATAGATCATCAATTAATAAAGTATAAATATTTATTATCGTTTACACATAAATACTACATTCTTTCAATAATTATGAATGAAACAAATGCTAACATGTCTAACTGAAGCACCTCATGTTGTTCTGCTCATCTAATAAACAATAACTAAATTAACCCCGTAAATGGATCCCAACACGTACAGAACTAGAATAAAACCACACAATTAAGCCACAGTCTGATTGAGATCCTCGCGTCATCTTACCATAAAAATGAATGATGGTTGTGATCCGTAACTCTGGGTTGAAAAATAATGCATATACCTTCATAAAGGACGAGATAAGAAAAAATATTTTATTGGTAAGCTTAATAAAACAAGACTAATATAGACAACAGAAGGTCAGACATATCATATTATATCAATCATCCCTGGAGTTTATTTATACAAAACAATTATTATTTTCCTTTGATGTTATTTGGTTTAATAATACAAACATGGGGTCAAAATTAAAATATATTCTTCCACTATCAAATGAATCCCCGAGGGTGACTCAACAACTGTAATTGTATTTAAAAGTCATTCTTCCCAGGTCTTTTATTTTTTTTATTGTGTCTAGTTATCTTTATCTTGGTCTACCCCAATTTCCTCTCTCATCCCCGACAATCTTCGTTCTCTATAACTTGTTCTCTCCATTACGACTGAGAATATTTTTTCATCTTCTTCCTTGCTTCGTTATCTTCCTGCTGAGTGTTCCTTCTGCTCTTATAACTGCTGAAGTCTCTTTATACTCGATTCTACCATCTTGATCTCTGTCTCTCACACCTGCACACACTTCAAGATTCCAAATGTCAGTTCTCTCAACATAACCCAAATTGTCTTTCAAAATCAACAAACTCAAAGACCATATCTCTCATGAAGTCTTTTTTTTTCTTATCCACTATTTGCCTTACTGAATAAAACCCGTCACCTGTGCTCCCTCCCTTTCTAAATATCTGTAGTTATGTCTTACCTTATACAATCTGTCTAATTCTGGTATCGAAGTTCCTCTCCAACAAGTTGAGTGTCAACTTGAATAGAGTAATACCTCCAAGTCTTTCAAGTTCCCTTATGCATCGCTTATGTTTCTATTTGGGTTTTATCAGTCCCGTTCTCCCCTCTGCCAAATACCTCCCCTGTTATAACACACACATTAAAACACCACCACTTAAATCCTGTTTATCTCACTTCCAGCTGTATGCTTTACCACTCTTTATCCTCTAAAGTTCACTCTCTTTCTACTCTTCCTTGCTTGTTTTTTCCTTTATTTATCACTTCCTCTTCACCTTTTTCAGTATCAATTCCCTTTTATCACCCAAGGTTCATCAGGTCTTTTCTTGTAATTTCTCCCACACTGTCAACACCTTCACACCATCATCCCCTCCTCCTTCTTTATTAATCTGTATCTAAACTGCGAAACTGTTCTTATTCCTCTATTTTACTTACCATCTTCATGTTCATCTTTCTACCATCTTCCTTAATTTGTTTTTCATAATTTATTCACAGTTTTCACCTTTTGTTTATTGTTGAATGTTACCAATGATGTAGAAAGTCACAATGAGCTGTTGAATATTATCCTGGAGATGTAGAGTGAGTAAGTCGTGGCAGTAAGAGTAATGAAGAGAAGTGCAATGTAAAATTCAATGGTAGATAGAAGGATGGACAAAGGATAACCAAGGAGAGAGAGAGAGAGAGAGAGCATGACATCCAGTGATTGAGATGTCCAAGCAGCTGGTGTGAATAGACGAAGACAAATGAAAGGAGAGAGATTGGTCTACTCGTGATATCTGCCACCTAACTGCAAAAGGACTTGTAGTATAATAATGTAAACATTTGTTGACAATATCGCATGAAAGAGAGATATTCTGGGACGTGGGTGCATGAAAGTTATCAGTATTAAAAATAGCTCAATGGCAAAAAGAAAGGGGGTGAAATAGACTGTTGACAAGCTTTAGAGCCAGACATGGGTGGCATCACTTTATAGCCAGACATGGGTGGCATCACTTTAGAGCCAGACATGGGTGGCATCACTTTAGAGCCAGACATGGGTGGCATCACTTTAGAGCCAGACATGGGTGGCATCACTTTAGAGCAGACATGGGTGGCATCACTTTAGACATGGTGGCATCACTTTAGAGCCAGACATGGGTGGCATCACTTTAGAGCCAGACATGGGTGGCATCACTTTAGAAGCCATGGGTGGCATCACCCAGACATGGGTGGCATCACTTTAGAGCCAGACATGGGTGGCATCACTTTAGAGCCAGACATGGGTGGCATCACTTTAGAGCCAGACATGGGTGGCATCACTTTAGAGCCAGACATGGGTGGCATCACTTTTAGATTATGCATGATGCACAATTTCTATTTAACGGTGAATAAAATTTCATTTTGCTCTTCAGCGCATAAAAACAAAAAAGTCATTCAGATCACTACTACTTGTGCTTGACGTTCGCTGACAAAGTGCTTGTTAACGACGCAACTATCCAGGGAAGGTGTAAGCGTTATCCACACCCCCGCAGTTGCATGCTTGTAGAGTTCACCTGAGATACACGGTTCTATTTTAAACTGATTGCAAACTCCAAATCTACAGTCAGTTTGTATATATTCCATCCAGTAATCCAATGATATACCTTATATTGCTGTGCGGTGTTGGGGATTTATACTTCAAATAGAAAACAATCTATTAACTGAATTTGTTATATAAGCTTACCACTAACTGGGACAAAATATATGCTGTGGTTATTGGAAATGGTACAAAATCTTAATTGTTTCACGTTAACAGGGGGGGGGGGAGGGGAGAAGCAGGATACAACGTAGAGTTACTTTGTATAGAAGGAAAGATAATATGAATTGTTAGATATAATTTATAAGAGATTAAGTAACTAGGATTGCATATCTTAGAGATAACTAAGACGCAGGTAATGTGGTAGAGGAGAAGAATGTGCTTTAAAGAATATGAATGAGGAATGTTTGAAAAAAATAGTTGGAATTAATGTTGTTTTTTATGGTTTTGGAATATCATTTGACAGAGGTGAATCAAAATCATCTTCCTTATTCTAAAAATGTTCAGCCCTTCTCTAGCTTTGCTTTACCCGATGTTAATATTATATACACTTACTGTCTTAATAGTGTGACTTACCTTTACATTATTCTGCAGCACCACACTTTGAAGGCT